TTTCCCTTCTTTGACCTGGGAAATCTCAGCAGAGATTTGCCTTGAATTGCACTTCTCTCTGCTCTCCCCCTTACTTCCAAGTAAGTCTCTGAGCCGCCACTGGAGCCTGATGGCCACGGAAAGGACGCTTAGGGACACAGAGGAACATATGTGAAAAACAGATTTTTCATTAGTACTTATGAGGAGGAAGATGGCCTTTTCCAGTACAGTACAGGCCACTCCTAAGACAGCCACACTTGGGGCGGCGACGGAGGGGGTGGGAGTGGGGGTGAGAGACTGAGGCGAGCCAAGCACCATCTGCTTTTTAATGAGTTACTTCATGCGCCAACAGTAATTTTCCTAACATTCAGCGAGGTCCTGTCTGATCTTGCGACCGTAACAGGGAGTGGGGAGGGGGGCGGGCGGGCGAGGAGATATGGTTTGATTAGGGGAAGAGGCAAAGCTCCCCACACCTCGTTGCTATACGTAGTTGAAGGGGAGAGTGAGAGATAAAGGCCTTCTCCAGTAAAATCAAGATTTTCAAAAGCTCTGCACTGGGAAGGAAGGAAGGACCGACCAATCCACAGTTTTGAAGGCATGATGGAGAGCGTCCTCCCATTCCAAAAAAGCATAAGCAGAGCCTACCCCATGATCTCAATTAAAAGCAATCTTTCTCATTTAAAACAAAATCTATTTAGCACTGTAGTCTTCAGCCTGTCATCTTGGAAATAAGCACGGTCGAGGAAACGGGTTAAAGACTACAACCCACAACTCTCTTCCCTCTCTCCCACCCCCACCCCGCCATATTTCCGTGAAAGCAGGCTCGGGTATAGTTCCCTCTTTGGTCCTCACAGGCGAGCGTGGCAAGGTGAGAAAACCGGTGTCTCTTCCAGTTTCCGGAATGGAAGATCCTATTCTGGCGCTCCTTAAAATTCCACGTGGTCCTTAAAGTAGGGGGAATGATAGGAGGTCCGGCACCGCCCAAGCCATGTCGCTGCCTGAGACCAAGGAGCAAAAGGCGCCCCTTCCCCAGCCAACCTCCGGTGCGCAAGCTGTAAACGCCCCATGTATTAGTCTCTCCCTGGCGTAAAAATACTGTACAAGATAAACGTTCAGCCACTAACAAGTTGTTTTCCTTTCTGATGATGGCCTAATGTTAGGGCAGCTTTGGTGATTCAGCCTCGTTTGGTGGTGGTGGGGGATCCATCTTCTGGACACGACGGAAGCCCCCCCCCCGTGTCGTGAAGCAGGCGGCCAGCTGGTTTGCAAACGCAGGAGTTTCTGGAAGAGCCTTTAAGGCGTCCATGCGAATCTGTTTGCGCAACAACAGCCCGTCATCTCGTGGCACCTTAAAAGCTGACCCGCTTTAATTGCCCTCAGCTTCTCCGGGCTGAAGGACACTTCTTCAGATGGCCGGGCGCGCCTTGCTGGATCCCCAGATGCCGGGGATGGGAAGCCGTTCTCCGCGGCCGGCGCTGGTGCAGCTGCAGCCGC